TCCTCAGAGCAGTACAGTGTCACTAACGTGCCACTGCACTGGTCTGGTCACAGTATGTAAAAAAGAAAAAGTTTTAAACATTTGGAAAAAAAAAAAAGTGTTTCTTATTTGCAACACAAAATTACAACTTCAAAAAACTCATTCCTTTTACTAAACACCTTTGACTGTTCACTTTCTAAAAAAGGGTCATTTGGGGGGTATTTGTTCTGTACTGGCATTTTAGGGCCTCAAGAAATGATAAAAAGAAACATATACTGTATAAAGGTGTACATATATTTGAAAATTGCTCAATCCTGACTTACAGTTGTGTTCAAAATAATAGCAGTCAGACATCACTAACCTGATCAATCACTGTTTTTGGTAGAAATATTTCTACATGGCAAATAATTTACTAGCAGGTGTAGTAGAGTAATAGAAATCCAACAGACCCAACAGTCATGGCATGCATGCTGCTGATTCTGTGTAATTGAATCACTAATTGAAAGGGGCAGGTTCAAAATAATAGCAGTGTGGAGTTCTATTAGTGAGGTCATTCATTCTTTGAAAAACAGGTGGCAATTATTGCCCTTATTTAAGGAAAGAAGGCAGCAAATGTTGTACATGCTGGTTACAGTGTATTTCTCTCTGAAATTCTGAGGAAAATGGGTCGTTCCAGACATTGTTCAGAAGAACAGCGTACCTTGATTAAAAATTGATTGGAGAGGGGAAAACATATAAAGAAGTGCAGAAAATCATAGGCTGCTCAGCTAAAAAGATTGTAAATGCTTTAAAATGGCAACCAAAACTTGAAAGACTTGGAAGAAAGCAAAAAAAAAACTACCATTCGTATGGATAGAATAGCCAAAATGGCAAGGACTCAGCCAACAATCAGCTCCAGGAAGATCAAAGAAGGTGTAAAGTTACCTGTGAGTACTGTTACAATTAGAAGACGCCTATGTGAAGCCAAGCTATCTGCAAGAAGCCCCCGCAAAGTCCCACTGTTGAAAAAAAGATATGTGCTGAAGAGGTTACAATTTGCCAAAGAGCACATGAACTGGCATAAAGAGAAATGGCGCAACATTTTGTGGACTGATGAAAGTAAGATTGTTCTTTTTGGGTCTAGTGGCCGGAGACAGTTTGTCAGATGACCCCCAAACACTGAATTCAAGCCACAGTACACTGTGAAGACAGTGAAGCATGGTTGCGCAAGCATCATGATATGGGGATGTTTCTCATACTACGGTGTTGGGCCTATTTATCGCATACCAGGGATCATGGATCAGTTTGAATACATCAGAATACTTGAAGAGGTCATGCTGCCTTATGCTGAAGAGGAAATGCCCTTGAAATGGGTGTTCCATCAACGACCCCAAACACACCAGTAAACGTTCAACATCTTGGTTCCAGACCAACAAGATTGACGTTCTGGAGTGGCCAGCCCAATCCCCAGATCTTAATCCAATAGAAAACTTGTGGGGTGACATCAAAAATGCAGTTTCTGAGGCAAAACCAAACAATAGAGAACCGTGGAATGTAGTCCAATCATCCTGGGCTGGAATACCTGTTCACAGGTGCCAGAAGTTGGTTGACTCCATGCAACACAGATGTACAGCAGTTCTCAGAAACAGTGCTTATACAACTAAATATTAAGTGATTCAAAAGGAAAGCAAAATCTTCAAACATTTTTTAGTTTTATATAGTGAATGTTTGAGTTTGTAAAGAAGAATACAAACACTGCTATTTTTTTGAACAGTCTAATATTCACTTTTCTTCAATTTTTTTAGAGGAGCAGCACAAATTTGATAAATTTTTCTTCATGTTTTGATTTGGAATAGAATGTAGGAAGGATTTTGCGCTTTATGCACTTTTTTCAACACACTGCTATTATTTTGAACACAACTGTACATCAGGATTGATCAATTTTCAGATATATACAGTTAGGTCCATATATATTTGGACACGGGCACAATTTTCATACTTATGGCTCTGTATGCCACTAGAATAGATTAAAACGAAACAATCCAAATGAATTTTAAGTGCAGACGTTCAGCTTTAATTCAAGGGGTTGAACATAAATAGTACAAATTTTAGGAACTGCAACCATTTTTATACACAGTCCCTCGATTTTCAGGGGTTCAAATGTAATTGGACAAATTATATTCATAAATAAAATGTTCATTTTTAATATTTTGTTGAGAGTCTTTTACTGGCAATGACTGCCTGAAGTCTGGAACCCATAGACCTTAGCACAGACTGGGTTTCTTCCTTTCTGATGCTTTGCCATGCTCTAATTGCAGCTGTCTTCACTTGTTCTTTGTGTGTCTTTCTGCCTTTTTAGTTTTGCCTTCAGCAAGTGAATTGCATGCTCAATTGGGTTGTGATCAGGTGATTGATTTGGCCATTGCAGAATATTCTACTTCTTTTCCTTCAAAAGCTACTGGGTTGCTTTTGCATTGTGTTTTGGATCATTGTCCATCTGTACTGTGAAGCGTCGTCCAATCAACTTTGCTGCATTTGGCTGAATGTGGGCTGACAGTATATCTCTAAAGACTGCAGTATTCATCTGGCTGCTTCTGTCTTCTGTCACATCAGCAATAAACACCAATGACCCAGTGCCACTGAAAGCCATTCATGCCCATGCCATCACACTGCCTCCACCATGTTTTACAGATGACTTTGTGTGCTTTGGATCATGAGCTGTTTCAAGCTTTCTCCACATTTCTTTTTTTTTTTCTTCCTGTCATTCTGGTACAGATTAATCTTTGCTTTATCTGTCCAAAGAATGCTTTTCCAGGAATGGTCTGGCTGTTTTTGGGCCTAGTCTAATCTGTCTTTTCTATTCTTCAGGCTTATGAATGGTTTGCACCTTATGGTGAACCCTCTCATGAAGTCTTCTCTTGATTGTAGACTTTGACAATGATACACCCACCTCCTGGAGAGTGTCCTTCACTTGTCTGGATGTTGTAAATCATTTTTTCTGTACCATAGAGAGGATCCTGCGATCATCCACCACTGTTATCGTCCATGGACGTCCATGCCTTTTTATGTTGCTGAGCTCACCAGTGCATTCTTCTTTCCTCAGAATGTACCAAACTGTTGATTTGGCCATTCCTAATGTTGTTGCTATCTCTCTGATGGATTTGTTTTGTTTTTGAAGCCTTACAATGACCTGTTTTACTTGCATGGACAGCTCCTTTGAACGCATGATGTAGGTTCACAGCAATAGATTCCAAATGCAAATACCACACTTAGAATCAACTCCAGACCTTTTACCTGCTTAACTGATGAAGAAATAACGAAGGAGTAGCCCACACCTGGCCATGAAACAGCTTTTGATTCAATTGTCTAATTACTTTTGGTCCCTTGAAAAGGGGGGAGATGGCTACTCTTAAGAGCTGTAATTCTTAAACCCTTCCTCCAATTTGGATGTACATACACTCAAATTAAACCTGAGTGTGCACTTTCAGTCCATATCCATCATATAACTATAGCTTAAATATGTTTTGGTAAATATTTGAAAAAAACTAAAATTGTTCCTGTGTCCAAATATATATGGACCTAACTGTATATACCACAGTTTCTAGACTCTACAACTTGCACACAGACCAAATAAATGTATGCTAATTTGAGTTATTCTTACCAAAGAAATGTAGTAGAATACATTTTGGCCTAAATTTAAGAAGACAGATTATCTGCTAAATCGTTTTACAGAAATGAAGAAAAATATATATTTTTTTTTTTTTGGTTCATATAGCAAAAATTACAATAGTGGTGATTAAACACCAACAAAAGAAAATTCTGTCTAAAAAAAAAATGGCAAAAATTAAATATGGGTAATGTTGAAATGAGTAATTTGTCATTCAAAGTGCGACAGCACTGAAAGCTGAAAATTGGCCTGGGTAGGAAGGGATTGAAAGTGTCCGATTCAGTTGGTTAATAATAACTTTTCAGTAATTACCAAATATTGGAATATCAGATTTGGGTGAACCACCCTTTTAAGGCTGCATGCACAGGGGCAGAAAAAGTATGCTGCTTTTAGAAGAAATTTTTATTTTAAATGTTTTTAAACAAATCTCAATATTTGCAGATACACATTGTGGCAATAATCATCATAGTTTAAAGCAGCTTTTAGAAGTATATAAAATTAAAAATATCCCCAATTCTGCTTTCAGAAAAATGTACACTGCCATACTCTATGCATATGTGTACATAAACACATGCATATGAGCTTACTTTCAGCTAAGTGGTTAGAACAAATTAATTTTCTAGCCAATAAAATTAACTTACATGCATGTAAATATACACCAGATCAAGCATTTTTTTTTTTTTTTACTCTGGAATTTTTTGCCAGCTCCTATGGAAAAGGGATTATTTTAACATACTTTTGTGCATGTCCCCGAATAGCGCCTATAGTAAATGTATAAAAAAAAAAAAAAAAACTATGTCTGCAGTTTTCAGCCAAAAAAATGTTTTCCAGGGGAAAACTGCTGATAAAGTGTTATATCTAGGTTAGATTTTTAGGAATCTGTCTTTAGACTAAAGCCCACCCTTAGCTCTCCATATAAGCTGAGGCTCTTTGAATAAAGGTTTCCACCTACAGTAGCAATATTAATAGGCCTTCTCACAAGGAATGTAGAAGTAAATAATTGTGTGAAATATTACCTGGGTTAGGTATGAGCTGTCAGGCCTTCATTCTGGGGCAGAAGTTGACAGCACATATACCACGTGGGAAGAAAAGGTACAGCTTTCTGCTTCGAGCACGGGACAGCAGAGAACCAGGGCAAGGGAAGGGGTATTTATAGTCACAGGACTTTCACACATAAATGAAATATCATTACACATTCTAACTGCACTACAGCAGACCAGTGGAGGCAACTAGTAGCTGTAATTAGAGATGAGCGAAGTATTCAAAAATTCGATTCGACTGATTCGGCGAATTCGTAGAAAAATTTCGATTCGAGTCGAATATATTCGCTGTGAATTTAACTTAAAAAAGGGTGTTTCTAGGCTTCAGAGAGACTTAATATTAGTGCTGAACACTGTACCTTTAATTTAAATGCCCTTGGAGTCTGCTGGGGAAGAGAAAATATACTGTCAGGCAGTATGACATGCAGATGAGTGCCGTCGATCTTAGAAATCACTGCACACTTCACTCATTTGGCCAGTCACGGGGCCAAAAACCAGAGTGTGGAGCCACAGTGTGGCGGTGGAGGCAGCAGCAATGGGAGGCCATGCAGCACCCTATGACAAAAATGGAAACCACCAGCAGTGTGAGGAGACCTGAAAAGTGGCACATGGCAGAGTGTGGCGATAGAGACAGCAGCAATGGGAGGCCGTACAGGGACCATGACACACTTCTGGACCTGGCAGCAGCATGAGGAGGCGGTACAGGGGCCCATGGCAGATTACGGGCCTGGCAGCAGCATGAGGAGTCGGTAGGGGGGCCCATGGCAGATTACAGGCCTGGCAGCAGCAATGGGAGGCCGTACAGGGACCCATGACACAATCTGGACCTGGCAGCAGCATGGGGGAGGCGGTACAGGGGCCCATGACAGATTACGGGCCTGGCAGCAGCATTTGGAGTCGGTACGGGGGCCCATGACACACTCTGGACCTGGGCAGCAGCATGAGGAGGCGGTACAGGGGCGCATGACAGATTACGAGCCTGGCAGCAGCAACTTGGACAGGAGGACGTTCAGTTTCTGCACCGTCTGGTGCGTGCTCGCAAACTGTTGTCTCTTGGAAACGGATTCCAAGAAAGGACTGCTGACGGAATCCGTGAAGAGGAGTAGCAGGAGAAGGAGCATCTGAAACGAGCGGAATATGCCAACAAGCGACAACAGGGGCCCATGACAGATTACGGGCCTGGCAGCAGCAATGAGGAGTCGGTACGGGGGCCCATGGCAGATTAGGGGACTGGCAGCAGCTATGGGAGGCCCGTAATCTGCCAGCACCCTATGACAAAAAATGGAACCCACCAGCAGTGTGAGGAGACCTGAAAGTGGCACATGGCAGAGTGTGGCGATGGAGACAGCAGCAATGGGAGGGCCGTACAGGGACCCATGACACACTCTGGACCTGGCAGCAGCATGAGGAGGCGGTATAGGGGCCCATGGCAGATTAGGGCCTGGCAGCAGCTATGGGAGGCCCGTAATCTGCCAGCACCCTATGACAAAAAATGGAATACACAGCAGTGTGAGGAGACCTGAAAGTGGCACATGGCAGAGTGTGGCGATGGAGGACAGCAGCAATGGGAGGCCGTACAGGGACCCATGAGAGACTATCTGGACTTGGCAGCAGCATGAGGAGGCGGTATAGGGGCCCATGGCCGAGATTAGGGGCCTGGCAGCAGCTATGGGAGGCCCGTAATCTGCCAGCACCCTATGACAAAAAATGGAACACACCAGCAGTGTGAGGAGACCTGAAAGTGGCACATGTTTGGGGCATGATTCATGGCGGATTTAGTCAGTTGTGTCAGGAACTGGTGGTTTTGAAATCCAGACTAATCCACGCCTGATTCATTTTCACAACGTCAGTACTCTCTCCACACTTTGGGTGGACAGTCGTGTCCTCCGCGGAGTTGCAATACCTCCTGCCGCACTAAACACGCGCTCCGATGCCACGCTACTGGCCGGGCATGAGACAGCCTTTCAAGGGCAAATTCAGCTAGTTGGGGCCAAAGGTCAAGTTTCGTTGCCCCTAGTAGTCAAGGGGATTGTCTACCTCGGTTGGCAGGGTGCTGTCCAAGTAGGCCTAAGCCTGTTGTTTGAGGTCCTGCTCCAGGTCCACCTGATGCTGCTTGCTGCTGCTGCTGCGGCTGGTTAGTAGTTTCCTCACTGCGCTGGTGAAGAAAGCTACTCATCATCGACTGCAGACTGAGGCAGCCGCTGCTGCTGTGGAGCTGCCACTGCTCCTACCACCCCACCCTCCCCCTGCTGCATGGCAGCGGAACGCGAGCGCACAGGGCCCACAGTGTCTGAGGATGGACGTTGGCGCAGGACAGGCAGAGACCAGTCTGACTACATAGGGTGGTTTTTTTAGTACGTTATTTTGGGCCTCCCTCTCAGCAGGTGTGAAAAGAGGCCACCATTTTGGAACGGTATGCGAGGGTCCAACAAGGTGGGACAGCCAAAAGTCATCCCTTCTGTCTGATGTTTATTATTCGGCTGTCGCTACGCAAGCAACCGAGCATGCTATGGGCCATTTTGTGCCAAGGAATGCGAGGGACTCCCTGCCTCCATCTCCACAGCATACTGCCACGGTGCGTCTGGGTCCTCTGTCTCCTCCTCCTCCTCCTCCTCTACCAGATGCACCTGCTCCTCCACTCCTGTCCGCTGAGTGGAAAAACCACCCATTTCACTCAATAATTCCTGATGCACCGCACAATGTCCTCCTCTACCTCCTCCTCTTTCTTCCTGTCCTGCCCCCACAGGGGTCATGTGTGGCGTTGAGATCTCGTGCGCCACGTCACCTACCGCACCCTGACCAGGCCATTGTTAACAGCATTTGTTCCAGGACGTGCAACAGAGGAATGGACGTCGTTCATCCCATAGTCCTGCCGACTTCACGAATAGCGTGGCCTCGTAGCCTCCTCAAAGGGCCTGAGCAAGCGCAGGTGTCACGCATGAGCTGCCAATGGCTGACATCTAAAGTTACACAGGGAATTTACCTTTAATCCGCTTTTAACATCAGGAAATCCTGTGATGGCCTTTTGCTGTTCGTAAAGGCGGTTCTAACATATGTAGGGTTGAATTCCACCTTGTTTGCAACGTCACAGCATGAGGAGTCGGTATAGGGGCCCATGGCAGATTAGGCCTGGCAGCAGCTATGGGAGGCCCGTAATCTGCCAGCACCCTATGTCAAAAATTCTACACACCAGCAGTGTGTGAGGAGACCTGAAAGTGGCACATGGCAGAGTGTGTGGCGATGGAGACAGCAGCAATGGGAGGCCGTACAGGGACCCATGACAGACTCTGGACCTGGCAGCAGCATGAGGAGGGCGGTATAATAGGGGCCTATGGCAGATTAGGGGCCTGGCAGCAGCTATAGGAGGCCCATAATCTGCCAGCACCCTATGTCAAAAAATTCTCTACACACACCAGCAGTGTGTGAGGAGACCTGAAAGTGGCACATGGCAGAGTGTGGCGATGGAGACAGCAGCAATGGGAGGCCGTACAGGGACCCATGACAGACTCTGGACCTGGCAGCAGCATGAGGAGGCGGGGTATATAGGGCCCAATGGCAGATTAGGGGCCTGGCAGCAGTCTATGGGAGGCCCTTAATCTGCCAGCAGCCCTATGTCAAAAAAAATTCTACAACACCAGCAGTGTGAGGAGACCTGAAAGTGGCACATGGCATGAGAGACTCTGGACCCATACAGACTCTGGCAGGCAGCATGAGGAAGCGTATATAGGGGCCTATGGCAGATTAGGGGCCTGGACAGCAGCTATGGAGGCCCATAATCTGCCACACCCTATGTCAAAAAATTCTTACACAACAACCAGCAGTGTGTGAAGGAGACCTGAAAATGTGGCACATGGCAGAGTGTGGCGATGGAGACAGCAGCAATGGGAGGCCGTTACAGGGACCCATGACAGACTCTGGACCTGGCAGCAGCATGAGGAGGCGGGTATATAGGGGCCTATGCAGATTAGGGGCCTGGCAGCAGCTATGGGAGGCCCTTAATCTGCCAGCACCCTATGACGTCAAAAAATTTAACTACACACCAGCAGTGTGTGAGGAGACCTGAAAGTGGCACATGGCAGGCTAGTGTGGCGATGGAGACAGCAGCAATGGGAGGCCGTACAGGGACCCATGAACAGACTCTGGACTCTGGCAGCAGCATGAGGAGGCGGTATTATAGGGGTCCCTGGCAGATTAGGGGCCTAGGCAGCAGCTATGGGAGGCCCTTAATCTGCAGCACCCTATGTCCAAAAAATTCTACACACACCAGCAGTGAGGTGAGGAGACCTGAAAGTGGCACATGGCAGAGTGTGGCGATGGAGGACAGCAGCAATGGGAGGCCGTACAGGAAACCCATGACAGGACTCTGGACCTGGCAATGCAGCATGAGGGAGGCGGTTATATAGGGGCCCATGGCAGATTAGGGCCTGGCAGCAGCTATGGGAGGCCCCATTAATCTGCCAGGCACCCTATGTCAAAAAAATTTTATTTTTTACATGTTTTTTTTTTTTTGTCTTATTTTTTTTTTTTTTCTTTTTTCTTAGTGTTTTTTTTTGAAAGTGGACATCATGGCAGAGTGTGGCGATTTTTTTTTTAAAAAAATGGCAGATTAACACCAGACCCATTCTGTCAGCACACACCATCAGTGTGAGGAGACCTGAAAGTGGCACATGTCATGAGAGACTCCAATGACAGATGGACCTGGCAGCAGCATGAGGAAGCGGTTATAGATAGGGGCCTATGGCAGGTTAGGGGCCTGGGCAGCAGCTATAGGAGGCCCATAATCTGCCAGCACCCTAACATGTCAAAAAATTCTATACACACCAGCAGTGTGTGAGGAGACCTGAATGTGGCACATGGCAGAGTGTGGCGATGGAGACAGCAGCAATGGGAGGCCGTACAGGGGACCCATGACAGACTTCTGGACCTGGCAGCAGCATGAGGAGGCGGTTATAGGGGGCCGCTATGGCAGATTAGGGGCCTGGCAGCAGCTATGGAGCCCTTAATCTGCCAGCACCCTATGTCAAAAAAATCTACACACAGCAGTGTGTGAGGAGACCTGAAAGTGGCACATGGCAGAGTGTCGGATGGAGATGGAGACAGCAGCAATGGGAGGCCGTACAGGGACCCATGACAGAACTCTTGGACCTGGCAAGCAGCATGAGGAGGCGGTATATAGGGGCCCATGGCAGATTAGGGGCCTGGCAGCAGCTATGGGAGGCCCATTAATCTGCCAGCACCCCTATGTCCAAAAAATTCTACACACCAGCAGTGTGTGAGAGGAGACACTTGAAAGTGGCACATGGCAGAGTGTGGCGATGGAGACAGCAGCAATGGGAGGCCGTACAGGGACCCATGACAGACTCTGGACCTGGCGCAGCATGAGGAGGCGGTTATATAGGGGCCCATGGCAGATTAGGGCCTGGCAGCAGCTATGGGAGGCCCTTAATCTGCCAGCACCCTATGTCAAAAAAATTCTACACACCAGCAGTGTGAGAGAGACCTAAAGTGGCACATGGCATGAGAGACTCTGGAACTGGCCCAGCAGCATGAGGAAGCGGTATATAGGGGCCTTATGGCAGATTAGGGGCCCCTGGCAGCAGCAATGGGAGGCCCATAATCTGCCAGCACCCTATGTCAAAAAATTCTACACACCAGCAGTGTGTGAGGAGGAGACCTGAAAGTGGCACATGGCAGAGTGTGGCGATGGAGACAGCAGCAATGGGAGGCCGTACAGGGACCCATGACAGACTCTGGACCTGGCAGCAGCATGAGGAAGCGGTATATAGGGGGCCTATGGCAGATTAGGGGCCCTGGCAGCAGCTATAGGAGGCCCATAATCTGCCAGCACCATAATGTAATAAAAATTCAACACACCAGCCGTGTGAGGAGACCTGAAAGAGTGGCAAATGGCATGAGACACAGCTGGATGGACCTGGCAGCCGGAGCCATGAGGGAGGCGGTATATAGGGGCCCATGGCAGATTGAGGGCCCTGGCAGCAGCTAATGGGAGGCCCATAATCTGCCAGCACCCTTATGTCAAAAAATTCAACGTACCAGCAGTGTGAGGAGACCTGAAAGTGGCACTAGGCATGTGCATGAGACACTCCTTCAGGGACCCATGACATACAGGAAGCAGCATGAGGAAGCGGTATATAGGGGCCTATGGCAGATTAAGGGGCCTGGCAGCAGCTTATAGGAGGCCCATAATCTGCCAGCACCCTATGTCAAAAAAATTCTACACACCAGCAGTGTGTGAGGAGACCTCAAAGTGGCACATGTTTTGAGGCATGATTCATGGCGGAGTTGGATTTAGTCAGTTGTGTCAGGAACTGTGGTTTGAAATCCAGACTAATCCACGCCTGATTCATTTTCACAAACGTGAGTCTCTCCACACTTGGGTGGACAGTCGTGTCCTCCGCGGAGTTACA